AGAAATCTGATCAACAGGTTCTCACAAAGTCCAAATCCTGAATGGATCTAATTGACACAAAGTGGAGACTGTCCCACAGACCCGTAAATAGCAGGGTGTGATTAGACACTATCAGTATAGAGGAGCATCCCACCTGCCTCCCTCCACTTCCACCCCTGGGCTCCCTTGCCCCTGTGACAGTGGTGTACAAAGGCAGAGCACGTGCTCCCAGGCCTCCCCAGCAGCTGCCAGCTTACCAGCTGTCACAGCATGCCTTTAATGGGTTTGTGAAACCCAGGAACCTGACCCATTTCTCCTCTGGGGAGAGCATAACACAAGATGCCAAGCTGGATTCAGGAAGCTCCACCGTGTGAGACCAGTTTCCTCTGCCTTCCCGGGCAGGTGATTGTGGTTTATCCAGTGCCTAGAATCTCCAGATCTAAAACAAGTGCACAGAAGGCAGCAGGGTGAAATTGTGGCATTGTTTTTTGCTCACTTGCCATCATATTCTTTCCTTTTATTTAATTTTAATTCCATTTTCTGCCCACCCCAGCCCTAGATGTGCAGGCTCTGGTTCCCCTACCCAAAGGGTGTTGACTCTGCAGTGAAGGTCCGATTTCCCAGATCAATCAATGAACATATCTGTTCTGAGCAAGCATGTTAGACAGAGTCCTGTGTAGAGGAAGCCATGCCCTGAGGAGCTTCTAGTTCAGTTGGAAAAGCAGATCATGTGGACAGGATGAGGCAGCATAAGAATCCGGCCATAGGAATGATCTGTGGGAGTCTCAGATTAACCTGGGTCCACAGGTTAAGGAAGGGCTTCAGAGGCATCCATAAACACCTGATGTTGCTTATAATTTGGTATATGCAAACATGCATTTCCATGGGTAAATTCATAGCTTCACTCCAAAAGTATTATCAGAGTCGGTGGCAAAGCTCACTTGCCATCATAATTATGCCTCAGATAGTTGCTCAAGGTTTCACTGAGCAGGTCAGATGTGAACTCAGTCTTGGAATTGGAATTCAGAGTAACAGGGAGCCCTACAGGGAAAGATTTCCAGGCAGCATCATGGGAAGTTACCTTTCATCTAGTTACCTTTCATCTCTCAAACTCAGTAAGATATAAATCTGTAAAATGTTGATAATCACTGCTTCCCAGAGTTTTGTGAAGGACTATAAACCTCTCTTTTTTTTTTCCTGTCTCATGCTGTTTCCCATACCTCAGTGCAATGTTCAACTCATATCATAGTGAATACTAATCAATTAATCAATATTTGATGAACATGTAACTTAACTGAAATAGTCAACATGAGAACAAAGTATTGCTTCAGCAAAAGATCTTCATTGTCCCAGGCAAGAGGAGGCACACACCTGTAATCCCTGCAACTTGGGAGGCTGAGGCAGGAGGATTGTAAAAGACAAGGCAAGTCTGGGCAACTTAGTGAGACCCTGTGTCAAACTTTTAAAAAGTAAATAAAAAGGGCTGGGGTTGTAACTCAGTGGCAAAGTACCCCTGGATTTAATCCCGGTACCCAACACACACACACACACACCAAAAAAACCTTCGTTGCTAAGCACGTGTTTTTGGTACATTGGGAGAATAGCCAGGTGATCAGTAGCTGTGCCCTCAACACTGATAAAATGTGCAGTTTCCTAAGAGCCCAGAAGTGACCTCACCCTGCAAGAGCTCGGCCTCTTCACCCCAGCACCTGCTGATCTGCACGCACTCACAGCCCGGCGGTCACTCCAGGGTCCTGCTGCCCTCAGCCAGGTGGCTATCAGGGGAGGACGGGAAGGACAGAACAGGGTGGGGGGGTTGCAGGGCCTCCATTGGGATTCCTCCTCCATGGGTGAGAGGGATCACTGATTGTTCCCTCTGTCACTTCTCAGGACAGCAGAAATGACAGAGTGCTCCTTTGCTGAACACTTTTGGTGTCCTCCACCTCCTCCCTGCAATTTCCTAGCCACGCTGTTGCTGAGAGAACTTCAGCCAATTTGTTTTCTTCTGTGTGCTGGCCAGTGGACAGGGTGACTCATCGTCATCAGTACTGAGATACTGCAAGAGGCTGGGCCAGTTGAGAGAGGAAAGGTTTTGTAAAAGGCACTGGTTGAAGGTGACAGGAATTCTCAAACTGAGTTGGGAAAAGACAGAGGCGATTTTTGCTTAAAGCAGTTCTCCACGGCAGGTGCCGCTAAGGGAAGCCATGTGGGAGCTGACAGAATGAGCTCTGAAGAATTAAGAACCTGTGTTCCAAATCTGTCACTCAGAGATTTTGAGCATGTCACTTAATCTCTCTGAGCTTCCAGCTCCTCCTCCATAAATTAAGATGGTACCTACCTGTATGGCTCAGGATCACCGTGATAGTAAGGAGGCCTCAAGCAATATAAAGGTATGGATACCTGTTGTTAACAGGTACATGAGCACACCTGCTATGTACAGGGCACCTTGTGTGTGTCGGGTGCTTTCACACTTATCTGACACAGTCCTCACAGAAGCCCTCTGTGGTGTATTGGTTTTCCATTTCCAAGAATGAGGAATCAGAGGCTCCTGCAGCTAACATGTGTCAGAGTCTACATCTAAGTCTAGGTCTGTTTCCATTCTCACTGTTAAACTAGCTTATGATTCCTCTCCTATGTACTATTACTTTGTCCATTAAAATATCCCATACTCCCCTGGCCTTTATCATCCACCATGGACTGGGCCCATCCTCTTTCTGAACTTCTGTTGCTTTCTTTCTGATTTGACTTCTGATTTCCTCTTGGCCTGTTGCCAGCTCCCCTGCCCTGGCTTCCTTTCTAGAGCAGCCCTACTCTTGTGAAGCAAGAAAGAACGGTCACTCTCTTGAGGTTTCTGGACTCTGAAACCTCTCTGTAAGGAAGCTGAGTACACAGAGGAGGACTATGTTTTCTTGTCATCCTCCCTTCTGATGTCACTAAGCACAAGTGCCCCAGGCAAGACCCTTCAGGAAAACAGCAAGGCCGTAGCTCTTCACCTTGTCAGGTAGACTGGGGTGGGGGCGAGGCACTGAAGGGAAGCACAGACTCCTAGTGGGAACCCTGCTCGGTCTCTCTTCCTTTGAGACAAGGCATTTCTACTCAGGAAATGGAAAAAACCATAGCTGGGCTTGGTAGTGGGTGCCTATAATCCTAGTGGCTCGGGAGGCTGAGGCCAGAGGACCAAGTTCAAAGCCAGCCTCAGCAACTTAGTGAGGCCCTGAGGAACTTAATGAAACCCTGTCTCAACAACAACAACAACAACAAAACACAAAAACGGGCTAGGGATGTGGCTCAGTGGTTAAGCACTTCTGGGTTCAATCACTGGTACAAAAAATAAAATCGAGAGAGAGAGAGAGAGGAGGTAGAGGAATTGCCTGACTCACTTAATGAGTGGGCATAAAACCAAAGGCTAGTTTACAGCTTCAGCCCATGTGTCTGTGGGGAGCTGGGTTCCTGGAGTTGTTGCTAAGGGTGAAGTGTTGGCCCTGCACCCCCAATCCTTATGCCTACGTCTCGAACCTACGTGATTGAGAGAATGTGGGATAGGGCTGCTTCCCATTCTAGAGTTCCACCTGACAAGCCCATCCAAGCAACACACTCCCAAGGTGGGCTTCCCCTTGGGGAGGTGCATATGTAGCTACTGCCCATTCTCCCAGTGCCAGGAATCTATCCTACAATTAGGTAAGAGATAAATCAAAACAAAACTTGGCTGATGAAATTCAGGAGCCATCAGTGACCCTTGCCACACATGCAAATCCCAGCAGGCTGAACAAGAGCCTTTGTCTGGTCAGGAGAGTTCAGGATTATCTGGCCCACTTTGCTGATGTATGGAGGCACAGGCTGTCGGAGTGTTTACTAACCGTTATCACCTCAATGCTTTGGCCATTATCAGAGACAGGGCCGCCTGCCGGGGCTGGGGCTCGCACCCTCTCTATTACCACCTGTCATTGGCAGAGAGTGTGCGCTGACACTGCCCAGTCCTGCCCGCCCAGGGAAGATAGTTTCTGACGGCTGATCAAAGAGGAGAAGCAAGGCCTGATAAAGAGTGTGTGTTTCATGTACTTTTAACTTTGGGAAACATTGGCATTTGCATTTTTTCCTCATCTTCCTGGTGCTGGTAGAAACCAAGCCCAGTATAGTGGGTTCAGTTACCTAATCGCTGGGGAAATGGTATGTGCTTAAAGCAACAGAGCATGACCATAATCTCCTTTGGAGAGAGTGGATGAAATAAGCTTTCACAGAAGACTTGCTGTAGAATAAAGTAGAATAATTTAAATTTGGACTTTGAAGTGATCTTGCATGTGAGATCTAATCTTGGCACTTAGCAGAACACCATGTACTTTTTGGAACTGGGAGCAGCTTTGGATTAAGGAAGAACCCTTGCTGAAGATGCTATGACCCAAGTGTATTGCCGTATCCCTAAAATGGTGCCCCATTATGCCCATATCCCTGAGAAGCTGGGAAATACATATTTTTTTTGAGAGTGTCTGCAATGGGGTAGGATAAGAGAATGAGTTCTAGACTGAGACATCAACAGATATGAGTTCTCATACCTAGTCTGCCACAAACCTGCCATTTATTCTCGGGCCATAACTTCTCTGAGGTTCGACTGTAAAATGAGGTATAGGTTACAGGATGCAATGGTTTAGAAAGCTATTTTGTTTTTGTTTAGGGCAAGTGATCCTTTCTTTAAATGAAATTTTAGGTGGAGTCCCATGTGTCAAATAGGAAAAAGCAGAGAAGTTTGGGTTGAATCCTGTCACTCCTCAGAAACAGTTTTCAAACCCATCTGCCTCAGTGACGTGGAGGTCACTCCCCGGAGACGCACACCCTGACCCAGTGGCCTGAACTCTTTTGCTCTGTGCTGCACACCCTTGTCTCATGCTGTCCTGACTGCCCTTCGTCCATCCCATAGGACTGAAGTGGCCCAGGGCACAGAGGGGCATTGGTGGTAGGTTGACCAAAAGAATGGCCTGCCCTCTGAAGGCATGGACTTAACGTCACATGTCCCATGTGTGCCACAGGTACCTTTGACCGGAGTGTGACCCTGCTGGAGGTGTGCGGGAGCTGGCCTGAGGGCTTCGGGCTGCGGCACATGTCCTCCATGGAGCACACAGAGGAGGGCCTCCGGGAGCGGCTCGCTGATGCCATGGCTGAGTCACCAAGCCGGGACGTCGTGGGATCAGGAACAGGTAAAGGTGTCATTAGACTCGTACCCTGACTTGGTCCTGACTGGCGCTTGTTGAGCTTCTTTGGCAGAGAGAAGTTGTGTGTTTGTTTTTGCCGTTTGTTTCTCTAGTTGGCACTGAGTGCTGTCCATTTTAGAAGCCTCTAGTGTCGGGATGTTCTCAGTGGAACTGTCCGCTCCTACGTGGAATAGCTCATAAGGAAGTACCGCGAGAAACACAATACAATTGTATAAGTTGCTTGGGGAAGGGAGGCCCCAAGTTTGCCAGAAGCACTCAGGCATCGAGTCCGGGGCAGCTCACCTTCTTCATCCACACTCCACGCTTTATAGATTGGCGAGTGTCAGTGGGACCTGCCAGGCTAGGAGGGAGCCAGCAGTGTGGCTCAGCCCCCAGCCAGCTTTTTCTTATGCTGCCTTTGGCTCTATACTCTTGCCTCTGAGAGGGTCCAGGAACCAGGGTCTAGGGTGGCTTCCTGCATGCATAGGGCAGTGAGAAGATATATTTAGATGAGGAGTGAGTCTTGGCCCAGGCACGCATGTGTACATGTACGCACGCACGCACGCACGCACGCACGCACTCACAGACACTCTCCTATGCTCTCAGGAAAGAACACAATCCTTCCATCTCTGTACAGCTCTAAAACAGGCTGCCTCTCCTTTTTCCAAAATATTGCCACCCTCTGTCTCTTGCTGTTAGCGACTACTCCAGCCCCGCATTTATGCCAGCACAACAAGCTTTGTCCCCACTTGCTGAGATTAGTGGGGACTTTTAATTGGGTTGAGTAGACCCTGACTGGAGGCCTTTCCTCTCTTGCTTGCCTGAGTCCTCCAAGACTCTTAGGTCTTGCTATGAACAGCTCCATCCTGCCACCTACGCCTATCTAGAAAGAGGATCCCAGTGAGGAGAAACTTAAACCCCTGGGGCAGGTCCTGAAGGAGCACTGGGGCTGGGCTTGGAGCACCTGACGTGCTCACACCATCTCACTGCCCTAGAACTCCTCTGGGACTTTAGATATTTGGGTTCAGCAGTCAGGCTTCCCTTTTCTAGTTCCCCAGCCCAGCCCTGTCCCTCTGATCCTGCACCAAGAAGGCAGAGACATCACCTCCACAGCACTAACATAGCAATCTGCCCCTGGTGCCTGTGCCATCATTGGCAAATGAGCAGAATGGAATGAATGGGAATGGAAGGGAGGAAGAGAGGAGTTTGGCTGGATATCAGGGCCTGGGAGATGGCCACCTCTGAAGACTGGCCCCCTCTACACCCTCTTCTTCCCTGGAAAGAAAGATGTGGGCCTCAGAAGCTGCAACAAGCCTTGACCCGCGCGCGCGCACACACACACACACACACACATCACCCTACCATGGCAGCCTTAGCCTCATGCCCCAAACTCATGGGTGATGCATCCTCAGGCCATTGCTGTCGCACCTGAGTAAGGAGCAGCTCTGCCACTTCCCAGCCCCTGAGCCCAGACTCCTTGGGAGCTGCCTAAAGAACAGAAACTTCCCCCTTCCTGAACCTTGCCTTTCTAAATAGCCACTCACTACATATCGGGGAATCTAGCTAGCCAAGGCTCCAGTGAACCAGAGCCTGGTATCCCTGGGCTCACCCCAGGAGCCTCCCTTCCCGAGACCCTGAGAGCTCCTGGACAGGCGTTGTCGGCAGCTTCCTTCTCAGAAGCCCCGTGGCACCTCAGAGTCATTGGGCAGGCAGATCTGAAAGCGCCTTCAGTCAGAGTTGTGGCGCTTCTACCTGGCATAGACAGAAACCCGGGCAAAACTGGCAGCGTCCATCTGCCAGACAGCTGAGGGATTCAGGAGAGTCCTTGTGGCCTTAAGCAGGTTTATGAAATTAAAAAGAATGAAAAAAAAAAGAAAGAGGAAATTAAAACTGCATGACCCACAGGTCAGAAAATAGGAGACTCCCTTTTTTTCAGCAGAGGGATTTTGTTTCTTCCTCAAACTGTCACTAAAAGAGATTCAGCTGGTCTTTTTTGACCATAATAGATGTATGGGTTTTTTTGTGTTTTTTTTTTTTTTTTTTTTTTGCCTCTGCCTCATTTTAAAGGCCAGTAAGTAAAGCAGATACTATGGAAGTTAGACCAGTTTCCTTCTCCATTCTTGAGAATCACTTTTCACATTTTCCAACTAGAGATAAAGTATCAGCCTGGTAAGCACAGCCTGGTCCACCTATGGCAAGGACAGCCTACTTAGAGATAGCCAGGGAAATACAGTACCTCATGGGTCAGAATTTCCAGCAAGTCACTCTTTGCCCATAGCAACCTCTGTCCCTCTCTTTCTTCCCACAGCCCTACTTCTTAGTGGCTCATAGGACAAACACATAGGGTGACATCGAGTGTTTGCCTCTGCTGGGTACTCTGATGTACCAGAGATAAGTCAGTTCCTTTAATGCCTCCCAACAGGCCCTTCAGGTGATAGAGCAACCAGGGCTGATGCTTCTTTATCAAAGTAGGAGCAAAGCACAGAGGCCAAGTGGAAACTTGCTTTCATGACCCCTGACCTGAAGCCTATTGTACACGTGCTTGCTGCTACATAGGTTTAGCTAGTGCCATGCTGGAGAATGATTAACAAACAGCTCTCTAAAGAGAAGCAAGCCAGCCCTGCTTTGTGGCTTTCTGTAGTGTAAAAACTCCTAACAGTGCCATTTTCAAGCTATCAACATTATCAGGCTGCTAGCCAAATTCCAGAGAAGGAACCAGTCAGCTAAGCTAACCTGTACCATAGGGCCAAAGAGCTCTCCCAGAAGCAAGGCAATATCTTTTAAAACCCATTGTTCAAAGAAGGGGGGTGAGGAGCTGTTGGTCACAGGATACAAAGTGTTGGTTGGATAGGAAAAAAAAAAGTTCAAGATCTATTGTACAACATGATGACTATAGTTTATATCAATGTGTGATATTCTTGAAAACGGCTAAGCCAGCAGATTTAAAAAAAAAAAAATGGTAAGTATGTGAGGCATTTTATGTGTTAATTAGCTCAATTTAGCCATTTCACAATGAATATATGCAATTTTTGTTAATTAAAAATAAATTATTTCTTAAAGTAGTCTGCAGATCATCAGCTCCATCATCATTCAGAACCTGATTAGAAATGCAGAGCTGGCTAGGGATATAGCTCCATGGTAGAGCACAGGCTTAGCACATGTGAGGCCCTGGGTTCAGTCCCCAACACAGCCAAAAGAAAAAGAAATACAGAGTCTCAGGCCCCATCCAGTCCAATTCCATCAGCATCTGCATTTGATTTGGGGGTTTTTGGGGTTTTTTTTTTCTCCTTTCAGTGCTGAGGCTAGAACATAGGGACTTGCACTTCTTGCTCTGTACTAAGTTACCCCTGCAGCCCGGTATGTACATTTTAACAAGACTCCTCCACCTCCATGCATATTAAAGTTTGAGAAGATCTGTTTTAAAGCATGGCTTATCCATAGACAGGTGTTACGTTACTTCAGTCCTCTGTGATGGCTGCTGAGCAATTGGTCTAATTAGCTCACATATGTGATTTGCAAGTCCACCTCTAACATAACTAGCTGAATTGCTTTCTTGCTAATGTCCTTACACCCTTCACCCCTGTTACCCTTCCATTGTCCCATTCAGCAAAACTACAATTTGAGGCCAGTCTAGCTGTACTCTTATAACCTGGATTGCTGAAGAAAAATATCATATATTGTTCAGATTGGTCCCTCTACAAATACGAAGCCCCTTGCCACTGAGCCCTGCTGTGTATTTCCTGGTCACGGATTGCACCCATCTTTGCAGCACCAGTGCCTAGAACAGAATCCAGCATGTAGCAGATGCATAGCAATTATTTGCTGGGTGAAGTCTTCTGCATTCCACCTGGGTGCCAGCAGTTCTGCCACAGCCTCAGCCTGCTGCTGATGGCTTTTGGCCTATTTGTATTCTTGGTGAGATTCCCCAGCATTGAGGGTGTGCGTTTTATTTTGGATCCCTTTTTCCTGTTCTCATCATTTATTAGTATGGTCAGAGAGCTTAGTTAGTCCCTCATCTTTGAAATCAATTTCTTTCCTTCTATATTAATTCTATTTCAAACTTACCCATTCATCTCTCTTTCCCCACGTTTTCTCAACTTCTTGCCACCCAGATCCTAAGCATTCCTGCATCAACTGTCCCCTCTCCTCCTATGGCAGAGAAGGGACTGTCATTGCCCCCAGCCTGCCCTGCCACAACTGTTCTCCCCAAAGTCACCTGACTTCCAGGTACCTCAACCCTAGCCCTGTGAGCTGCCCCCTCTTTCTAAAAGCACTGTCCCAGGGACACCTGCTGCACCACAAGCTCCTGGCTTTTCTTCTGCCTCTGGCTACTTCTCAGTCCCTTTCCTGGGTTTCCCTTCCATGTTGTCCTTAAGGCTATCTTGGCCCACTTCTCCTTCAGTACATGACAATCTCTGCCTCCGTGGCTTCAATTATTATCCATTAACTGATGGTTTCCAAATAATTTCCAAGTTGGCTTCTCTTCTAACCTCCAGGACTACCTATCCAGTTACCTACTGATGAATCCACATTTAGCTGAAAATTGAACTCCTCTCGCCTCACCCCTCCCTTCTCCAAGTTCACCCCATCTCAGTGTGTACAGAGTCATGACCAGCCACTGCCCTCTCTCCAGACCTGCCTCTTGCTGCTCTGTCAAGCTCCAGCCTCACTGAATCCCTGAGGGCTCTGAGCACATGGGAGCTCTCTATGCATATTTTTCCTTTTGCCTGGAATGCTGTCCCCCAAAGCCCCCTCCCCTCGCGATCATCCTCCTCAAAATAACTTGACTAATTCCTTCTTAGCAGACATTCCTTTCAATATTGCCTTTTCTAGAAAAATAGAATTTAAAAAAATAAACAAAACACTGACTTATTCCAATTGTTTTCTGTCTAGGTAAAGATATAACTTAATACCAAAAGAAGGGTTTTAAATAAGCATCTGGGTATGCATTAAATACGTTTTCTCTTTAAACTTCGACCTTTTTGCCAGGTGTGGTGGCACATGCC